TAAGTTGGGACAGTAGTCAATCGAGATCACTCGGGAGCAGCACACCGGAGAACCTTCGTGTTAACCTCTTTTGATAAGATCAATAAATCAGGTCCAATGATCCAATAATAAATTTCTACGCTATCCCTTCCTTCACCGATACAGAGAGGCTTCATCGCCTAGCTACAACATAAAAGCCATCATCGGGTCTGCTTCTGACATGTGCATTAGCACGCTGTGATGGGAAACGATGTAGCACAGTGGTGGACCATGCATCTCGGAGTGGCAACATGGTGCGGTGTCCATGATAACTGTTTGAAGGGGTACTGAAGCGCTGCAGTATTTCATGTGTCATACAACAGCGTATCGAACTGTGTTCAACGATCACGCAATCAGCGCATTTGTTGGGTTCTCTGTCAGTTACCCATTGCAGTATTGCAGGCCAGGTGCTTATACATGAGCAAGGTTCCATCAAATCTGGGTGCTGGGTTGAGGGCTCTAGACAGGAGTTAAGTAACCTACCCAGTTGCGGGTTCCCCTCGTTCTCATGTTACGTCTACATTGATTAAGAAAGTATGCTTAGTTGAATAACCACTAGTACCTCACCAGTCCAATAATATGCGTGCAGGTAGGCACACCCAAAATCGCAGCCGCGCACACACAGGCTTGGCGGCTGCAGGGTAGCCGACGAGGCAGTCGTGTAGTATTATTACTTCGCAGTAAGAGACGCATCAATACGCCAGTCAGGAGTAAGCCGAAATGCGCATTCCCACCACTGCTGGAGTTGTATACGTTTGAGTTTCGAATCGTACTCCGCACCAGAAGATTGGGGTTCATCCCCTGTGAGGCCTGGCAACGTTACCTGAATGGCACAGCACTCCTATTAGTCAACCGTGCCTACGCGTGGGTTCGTCACCTCCCGCTCTGGACTAGGGCTGTTCATCTTTTTTGATCTAGGAAGTACGGTTGGGGATACAGACCTTGCATAGTAAAAAGCGGCAGAAGAACGCAGACTCGAACGGTCTTATATTATGGGTAGGATCAGCAAGCAACTCGCGTGATTGGATCAAAAAGCAAGAAGGCGCTGGACTCGGTGAGAGGTACTGCTGAGGTAATTGGTGGGGGACAGAAGGGCCGTTCGACAACGGCTTCTGTAGTGTGTATGGTGTGACAGCCATTTTTGAGAAAAGCACTGCGCGAGTGCTTACTAGTGGTGACAAGTGACTTGAAAGGTCGCAGCGGACGGCTATTGCACTGCTTGTGCACATTTTGGACTTCCTTGTCCCACGCCGTATCTGTGAGCATCAGCAGGCTCAATATGGATGCTTCTAAATGCGCAGAAGTGGGCGGGAAATCCAAAAACCTCTGCTAAATATGCATGCCACCCCTGCTGTTCAGGCATCGCATGCAATATGCGTTTGCCAAAACAGTGCACGGGATTCCCAGAATCCGGCTACTACACTCCGCTCACAATATGGATTGCGCTCACCATCGCCAGTTACTGTATTGATCCTCATCTGCTTCAATGCTCGACCTTTGCGTTTGTGACGACCTATGCTGGAGCCCAGGGCCAATCAGCAAGTACTGCCTGACTTTTCTGCAGCTGGTGTGTTGCCATCTCAAGGGCGTCAACGTCACGCGAGGGTACGAGGTATGCAGTACCATAGCCTGAGCTTTTTCGTACGCCCACAGCTCATGTGAGTCGCATTGACACAGCGTTGCCTCACTCCAGCATGCCTAGCGACTAGTAAAGTTCTAATTTTACTTGATAGCCGTGAACAGTTCGCTTGCACTGGGAGGTAGCAGGTGGCTTTGCAAACTCGCTGCACTTTCGTGCTGTTGTTCAGTAATATTTGTTTAGATCAGGCCTCCAATGTGGGCCGGAAGGCAACGGGAGTACTCTGCGTTTCGTGCAACTCCATGTTCTTTGTCACCAACTGACCTCGGCCCCGAAAAGTGCCCAGCCAGCATTTCTTTGAGAAGACACACTTGCCAGTTGTCTTCGTTGCTTTCCACTTCCACGAGCCTAGATCGAAACCGCATGGCGGCTCTCCCAACATCACGAAAACCGCAAACTTGGATACATTCTGGGCATCGTTCAGGCTATCCCGGTTACTCTGTAGCTTACAAAGCCAGCATTGTGAATATCCCTCCCGCCAACCTTGTCAAAGACGGCGGGGTGCTCGCGGACGCAGAAGGCAGACGCCGACTCCTGCTTCACGATACAGTACCTTGCTGCTGCAGAACACGACGTCCTACCGAACCCAGAGAGTGCGCTTGCGAATGTGCCCGAGCTGTTGCTACCAACCTCAGTATATGGGGTCACATGCACACGCTCATGTTTTGGCTCGGTGTAACGAGTCCTGCTCTAACAGCGGTGAATGGCAACGTCGACAGGTTTTTACAGGGTTCGAGCTTCATGTTTGCTTCCGAGACACAGCAGCACCATTTTCGCCTTCTTTAGCAGACTGCAACACGCAGTCGGCCTGAGGCAGGAGATTCACCATGGTGTGAATCGCGCTTGATCAATTACCAACAGGTCTCCTCTTCGGTTTAGTAGGCTTACACCGACTCGCTGGGGCCTGCCGTAATCACTACAGGGCATGCAAT